CCATTTGTTATCTATGACATGAATTCCTTAATGATGGGAGAAGATAAAATCAAGTTCAAACACATCACCCCCTTGCAAGAGCAGAGCAAAGAGGTGGCCATTCGCATCTTTCAGGGGTGTCAGTTCCGCTCAGTGGAAGCTGTGCAAGAGATCACAGAGTATGCCAAAAGTATCCCTGGTTTTGTAAACCTTGACTTGAATGACCAAGTAACTCTCCTAAAATATGGCGTCCATGAGATCATTTACACGATGCTGGCCTCCTTGATGAATAAAGATGGGGTTCTCATATCAGAGGGCCAAGGATTCATGACAAGGGAATTTCTAAAGAGCCTGAGAAAGCCCTTTGGTGACTTTATGGAGCCCAAGTTTGAGTTTGCTGTGAAGTTCAATGCACTGGAATTAGATGACAGCGACTTGGCAATATTTATAGCCGTCATTATTCTCAGTGGAGGTAAGATCCATCTTTCGATCTTCCGTGGAAGAGGGTGGGACGGTGGTGGCATGGCTGGAAGAATTTTCACTTTCCTCAGCATTCGCCCTTTTCTCTGTACTTACTGTACTTTCCTACAGAAAATGCGAGGGGTATGATGCCAGGAGAACATCACTACACAGGTAAAATACCAGGAGAGAGGATCATAAATTTGCTGTTGGAAGGCTGTGGGCAACCCAGGCATTTCTTCTTTTATCCTTCATAATATTTTTTCCAGTCAAATCCAAACATGAAAAGCAAATGCCCTCTTCTTTTTTTTTTTTTTTCTTTTCATTTTCTTTTTCCCTATCTTTTCCCTTCCCTTCTCTCTTGCCCTTCCCTTCAGGCCAATCTATTCTTCATGTCGTTTAAGTAATGACATGTACAACTTTGCTTAAGTTGGTGCTCACTTGGCATAGAGAAAGTTACTGCCCTACCATCAGGAAGATATTACTTTGAATTGCTTTCCTAATATCAGGAATCAAGGAGTATTTATCTACTGACTTCTAACTATTCCCTCAGGTAGATTTCTCTGATGGCTTCCCTTAAGGTACCTTTGGGAGGTGGTGGCTATGATTAAGAATACAATCTGAACCAAAGAGCACAGAGCAGAGAAATAAATTGAGTTATTTAGCAATTCATTGTATTTTTGGCCTTGTAAGTACATGATCTAACTAACCGACTCCAAAAGCCAGGTTTTATACTACATGCTACTTTCATTGGCTTCTCCACACATTTCCAGCTTATGTAGAAGAAAGTTTTACTGTCGTCTCTCTTTATAAAAATTGTTTTTAAGCAATGAGTTTTCATTACTGAAATGGACTTCGGGTGAGCTTTCTGTGTGCACTTGGCAGAACATCCTCTGTTGGCGAAAGCTGATGGGGGGAGGGATGGTGGTCCTCTAGATGTAAACTGTGTCTAACTATACAAGATATTATAAAGAACATGGTGCACTCTGCCCTCCTTTGTTGTCCAGTTATTTGAGAGCAGAATGCTTCTGAAATCAGGTGCATCATGTATTAGTAATAATAATAATAATGCTAGCAAACACTTGTTAAGTACCTACTGTGTCCTCGGCAGGGTTCTGAGCATGTAGTACGCGTTCACTTAATTCTCCAGCCCAGTGAGGGAAGTACCGTCTTGCAGGCGAGGAAACCAGAGCACTGAAGGGTTCAATCACTTGCCCAGGGCTACCCAGCAAACATAAGCTGCGGAGCCAGGATGATGAGCTCGGGCAGTCTGGCTCCAGAGTCTACAGTAATCCTACCCTTTACATGACTCGGGTGCAGGGAGCTGGCATACGGCACGCGGGTTAACCCTGGAGCCTCTGTGCAGCGTCAAGTTGCCACTCATTTAAAAGTGATGTTTTGGGGGGTTATGTTTAATGTAACAAAAGCTACTATCCAACATATTTTAATATCTTGACAGACTCTACTTAGATAGATCAACCCTTGATCCTCTGGGACCCATGATTAATTCAGCAAAGAAGAATGAGATTCTAGTTTATTTGAGGTTCATTAGGAGAAAAAGCTTAAATTTTGAAAAACCAGATGAGAAAACAAGTTGTTATTGCTTAGCTAATATTTTGAGGCACATTTTATTTTTAATGATGAATAGAAATAGAATTATTAACATTTAATATATTTCTAAGATTTTTCCCAAGCATACTCTAGATTCCATATTTATATTCCTTTTCTCACTTAGTCATTTTCCCCATGTCATTACATACTCTTTGTTAATATTTTTCATTAATTTTTAGAAAATAAAAGTAATACATGGTCATTTCATAATTCAAAGAGTACAGAAAAGTGTAAATGGGAATTAAAGGTCTCTGTCCTCAGAATAAAATGAGATTAACAAAGTCCTATGTCTCCTCCTGAAAAGTTTCTATGCATGTGCTACATATCTATGTATACATACTACCATTTTAAGGACTGTAAAATACTCATTTTTTTAAAGGACCATTACATACTGAATTATCTCCTTATTTATGGTTGCTCACTTACTACAAAAAACCTATAGAGGAGAATATAGAAAAATTTTTTTAGAAAATTGTTGAAAATGTGTTCTAAATTTGTGTTTTAGTGAACATTTTTAAGTGTAAATTTCTGTTCAAATTCCAAATTATTTTCTCATTCTAAATTACCAGAAGTGGAATGGCTATAAATATGTTTAAGTCTTTTGTTACATCATTGCCAGATTGTTCTCCACAACATTTATACCAGTTTATATTCCCACCATAGATACACTAAGGGAGGCATTTGAAATAAGCTGTTCAAAGATTAATTGCTAGCCAGGGAAGGTTTACACAAGAAACAGTCATAATTCTGGACTTTTTGAACTTGAGCAGTGTTGGTTTTTTGGTTTTTGGTTTTCTTTAAAGATTTATTTATTTTAGAGAGTGCGCGCATGCAAGCAGAGGGAGGGGCAGAGGAGAGGGAGAGGGGGAATCCTCAGACTCCCCACTGAGCACGGAGCCCTATGTGGTGCTCTCTCCCAGGACCTGAGATCATGACCTAAGCTGAAATCAGGAGTTGGCCACTTAACTGACTGAGCCACCCAGGGCGCCCCAGTGAGCAATGTTGTTTTATGGGCACATGAGACCACAGGGTGTTTTCATCTAGGAAAAAAAAGCCATTATTGCCTATAACTCACAAGCAAGTTTATTTAAAAACCAGCGATTTATTAGGCTTTAAATTTTTCATTAGTTGGTCAAAAAATAACAGTGCATAGTTTGATTCAATTTAACAGATACTGCAGGCTTTGGTTTTTAATTATGAAAATTAAAAATGGTACATTTTAAATGTAGATGCCATATAAATGAGTTCCTTTTGGTCTCATACAGACTGCTTTAACAGTAGCCAATATCCAGATCTTATTGGATCTTCACAACAATGAAAGAAATCTGAAGGTAGCAGCCAGCCATAGATTATTAAAGTCTTATCCCTGTGGTTATTATGAGAAGAAAACCCTGTGAATAATTTTAGACTTCCTTAAAAAAAAAAATAGAATTAACCATTGACTAGTTCCCGTATCACAAAAGGCAAATCCTTCCTTGATCAAAGTTTGCTTTTGTAGATGAAGTCTACCTACAGGCAGTAGATAAGAATGAATAAACTGGACCCCATGTTTGCTCAACACATAGAAATTTGATTCTCTTCTTTACTCAGAGAAGCCAGTTGGGTATAGGCCAGAGAAAGAACTGCTCAAGTCTTTTCCAGTCCAAAGACTAGACTCCAGTAAAATCAGAATCCCAGTCATCTGTAGATGAAGTCAGTATCCCAGATTGTGGTTTATTAGATTATGACATATAATTTCTCAATGAGTTTTAATTCTTTTCCTATCCTGGGTTTTCCAGAAGGAAAACATTCATGTAAGCAAGAGGCTTTGATCCAGTGAACAAATTTCTGATCCTACTTAATCTTAACAAAGAGTGGTCATTTTCTTTTGTGCAGTTTACATTGAAGTCTATAGATAGCTTTAGTGATTTCAGAAAAAGAGCTTTTGGCAGGGGTCCCATTGACCTCATTCTGAGCTAGGCTTAGAATCACAGAAGACTGAAGGCACCGTGACCCTAGACTGAAGGAAGGATGGGGAGATGGGCCCCTTGTAAGTGTGGGATGGTAAGGAATTGGGGAGATTAAGGGCAAGGCATCCCCAGAAGACCTAAAGGGGATTTTTTCTTTTCTTTTTTGGATGAAAGTACCTGATTTGACCCAACTAAGTATTTGCTGAGGAAACTGGAGTTGCTATAGTTAAGATCACTGTCATTCAACTTCAACCCTAGAAACTGCTGATCCGGTGAGATTTGGTGCTTAGATTGGCCTGGTGCTTAGCATCTTTGCTGTTTACTCAGCTCTCAAACCAAGCTAGCTGAGAAAGATGACCTAGTTCTTCTCAAGTTTTTCTCCTCTCTCTCTTTCTCTCCTGAGCTCAAGGCAAGAAAAAAAAAAAAAATGGGACTACAAAGAACAACAGTCCAGAATCAGACGAAGGACAGCACTGTGTACATTTTTAAAAAGCATTCCATATATGTTCTCTTATTAGATCCTGACAATTCTCCTATATTTTTATTCCCATTTCACAGAAGGAAAAGCGAGGTTCCTAGACTTCAGCAATTTGTCTGAGATCTAACAGCTAGTGAGCAGTGGAACTGGGGCTGAAAACCAGGTGTCCTGTCACCTCAGCGTGCCCTCTCTGCCACATACCCTGTCCCCTGCCACCTGGCTAATGCCTCGTGGTCACCCTCCTCACACTTGTGTTGGTGGCCGGAACCTGTGCTCCCTTCACTGTATCCCCTAAGGTATGGGCCCATAATTCGGAGGTAGTGCTTCCTCAGTAGTCGTGATAAGTAACAGCTTCCCTCGTTCCCTCTAGGATGGGTGGCGTCAAGAGTAATAAAACTGCCTCCAGCAAGGGCAGGTTTGCCTCCGGGGCCACAGTTCCATGCCAGCCACACTAGCAAACTCCCAGAACGACCCAGCAACCTAAGCCAAGTGTAAAGCTCAGTAAAACTGACAAGCCCCAGGACACTCCACTGGACTCTTTGCCTCCTTGAGCATTTGCTGTTCAGTGAAGAAAAGCATAGGAAGGTTCCAGCTGGAACTCTGCAACAGGAAAAAGCTCTTTTTGTTAATTCAAAACAGTTTGGAATCCATTACAGTTCTTCCCAAACTTCCAAGATATGGGGGAGGAAATTCACTGGGTTTTATAATATATTTTTTGAGGCAGATTGCCATCGCCATTTTAATGACAGAGAAGCTGTAAATATTGATACAATGGCCACAGATGGCAATTCATCAGCCTCCTCATTTACCCTCTTGAGTCTGGCTTGGTTATGCAAACCACCTCTATAGCAGCTCCTTCGTTTTCCAGCAATCCTAGCCATGTTCTTTTTCTGTGAAGCAACTTCGGACAGCTGTTCTTGGAGTGATCATGTGTGTTTCTGCTGTTGAGTGGGCAGGGGGCAGGGAGAATAGGGCACAAGAAAGGGGAATTGTTCTCATAGCTGTACATTTGCAGATCCAGGAAGAGTTGATGCTCTTAAGACAATTGGGTTAGTCCTACTTCTATCAGGTCAGTAACCTGAGGCTTCTGTTTCTTACCCTTGGTCATGACTCTGTATGTGTATATAGATAGAGATTCTATAGAACAGAATCAAAGCACAGCATCCAGTCCAGAAAATATACTTAATAAATGCTTGTTGAATGCGTAATAGTCAAATATTCATAGTAATACTAGCCACTGTTTATCGAA